AAAGAGTGAAACAGTGTGAGAGCAAGCGAGTGAAATGGTGGGCGTGAGGAATAAAGAGGAAGGGGAGAATCTGGAGTTTTTTGAAAGCTCGTTTTTGAGGCACAAATGAACATGTGAGTTTAAACAGTTAACTAGATTCAGATATTTAACTAGGATACAATATGCATCTGAACTGATTATGCCCAGTGTTTTCTTTCTTTTCCCCTGCAAGGATGATAGTGGGAGATTAGCAACTTTTTTTGGAAGCTGTATGTAAGACTATAATGCAAGAGATCTGCTTTTCCAGGAGAAATGCTCATTTTGTCAATTAGGAACAAACGCTTCTTTTTTGAACCACCAGTAGTGTCAGCTGCTCTGAGCAGGAAGGCAGAATCTGGCTATATATTAACTGCCAATTTAACTTCGGTTACAGTAACGTCTAGATTTTATTACTGCATATATTTATTATTTCGTTATATTTGTAATTGGTTAAAATTATATTGGCCAGGGAAGAAGTGTTTAAAAACATGTTTACACTTGTGTGGGTACACACAGGCAGAGACACAGACACACACAGACAAATAATCAGCCCAAGTTAGAAAGAAAGCAGTCCATCAAAAGCCTTCTACATTATTATGGTAATAAATCAGCACTTTTTCTGCAATCTCCAGATTAGGATGTTGGACAATCACTTAAAAAAGGGAAAATAGAGGCCCAAATAGATAATCCTGTTAGACCCATACCCACAACTTTCTTCAGTTTCCAGATGGCCTGACAAATCTCCTTGGCAGCTGCAATTTGAGCTTTTTCCCCAAGAAGGCCTCCTACTGTAGCTCGAAGGATAAATGAAACACAGCGGTGACAGCCGATGGCATCCGTCTGACTCTGAATTGCCTTAGGGTGAGACTGAGACACCAGATCTAGAATATGGGAAAGGAAGGTAGAGAAGTTCCTTTCAAGCCATTTTGCTCCTAATGTAGAGACAAATACCACATATGCCTGGAAGAGATTTGAAAAGAAGCCATGTTTTAGAGCAAAATCACCTGGAAAACCACTGCCAGCTATCCCACATAATTTTTTTTTTCAAATCTCTGCTTATTGCCACAACTAGAGCATCACTAAACTGAGACTATTTATACATTTACATACCCATAAATCTTGTACGTTCTTACTTTCAGGTAGCTGTAATTTTTCTGAATCTTTTACAATCATTCAAGTCACTATCAAAACTGTACAAGTACTATTGCGGCTCATTTTGACCAAGTTAATTCAAGCTGCTTGCTCATGTTATTCCATTCCAGAGTGTGAGAAATGGCAGTTTACCCTGCACAGGCACTTGTTATGTAAAACATTGTGTTTGGTCTCACTGAACAACAGCTTCCAGCTATTTAACATTCTGCACATGGAACCCAAATTTAATGTATGAATGCATTTTAAGAACTGCTATGTTACAAAACTATAACCTATAACCCTTAGAGAATTTTGTTATTATAGGCTTTGAATTGGGGAATATGTGCACCCCTCGAGCACTGCTCTTCATTGCAGTGAATTTTATTTGTTTGCCTTGCAATGGAAGTACCATAAATAGACAACAGAGAAAGAATGCAAAGTCACTTTACAAATCTAATCACCACAAGACCATTTATTTTGCCACATAATACACTCCCTTACAAATGCCTTCCATGTGCATGTGCTGGCTTTTTTTTAATGAGTAGATGTGCTACCAGTAAGAAAAGGGAACACAAAAAATGAGAATATGCAAATGAATACAAAATGTTCCTCCCAAGAAAGTTCACAGCTACTACCCATATCCACAAACATCTATATTTGCCTTAAGCGTACTTTGTCTTTTATCTAATATTAACAACTAAATCATTCGCATAAAACTGAAGCACTATAGATGTAGATCTGTAGTTGTAGTATTACATCCTGTTAGCATCTAATAGCTCTTGACAAACCCTACTCAGGCTTCACAATGTAGCAGTACATTACCCATTTTACATATTTGAAAACCAAGGAATTTAACAGGATAAATAGACTTGTGAAGAGTCATGGCTACATGGCTACATTTTGAACCATATCTTGGACCTGGCTGTGTCTTGAACAATTATAAATTCTTTTTCCATGTGTAAGAAGCCATCTTCAGTGTCTGTCTTACTTTTTGATATATAATAAGCTGCAATTCACATAATAATGAATACATTTTATAACTTCAAGTGTTTTCTGCTCACAGGCACTGATACATGCACCATTTCTGAAGTTTTTCTTACAAAAACACTGAAATATTTTAGCTGGTTTGGTACACTCAGTGTGTACCAACTATAGGAGAGGTACTACGGTGTTAACACGGAGATGCAGGAAAAAGGAGACAACCTCCAAAAAACAGTACGAATAGTCAAAACACTGAACTATCTATTCCTGGAAAACTAATAAAAGCAACATGTATATGGAACAGCCTCGGAGTCTGGCATGCATTTTCTAGGCAAATAGCTGTCAAGGTATTATTGTTCCCCAGCTTTTCTGTCTCTCTGCCAGAAGTTAAAGCTTCCACCCAGCATGATCTGAGCATAGAATACAATTTGTGAACACCTTCTAGCTGTTTCAGTGCAAAGTCTGGCAGCTTCTATCAGTAATTTAAGGTAATTTACAGACTTTCTGCACAGCAGAAGTTGAAATGCTATGAAAAACTCCCTTACTGGCAAAGGAGACATTTCAAATAACTGTGGGGACCGTAACTTACTAAACTAATCACAGCTGTTTGATATGTCAATGTTCATCATGACCTTTAGTCTTGATTCACAGGTTTAACATTTGAATATCTAGGTGTTAGCAAGTAAATGCCATTTAAGATAATATTTACAGCAAGAAGCCAATCTGATATCTGAAAAATTTGTTAAGTTTTTACCAGCATGCACTATATGGTCTTATATCAGTCCTGCTCACTTAACAAGATTCTGTCGTCTAACTGAGCATGCTGGAACACAGAAAAACAGGTACTTGCTTTTTTTTTTGCCCATTAAATTCTATTTTCCTCATTTGTCACACACAGTCCTTCAGAATGGGACTGGAAATGTCCCTATGCAGCAAGGAACTATTCCAAGTTCAAAGAATTCTTGCAACTTCTCCCTCTTATTTTTTACATAAGGCATTACATTTTAATTTAAAAATTTGAGGAAAGTACTTACTTATATTACTTACTAGAAATTCTTACCATTTGGACCTTTTGCAAGTAATACATATTCAATTTTGAAAATTTCAAACTAGCAGGTAAACAATAAGCAATACCTGAATTTTTTTTTCCTTTTCTTTCTAGCATAACTCAAGATGTAAATCCTTATGTTAAATTACAAACATTCTGTCACAGATACAAAAATAATGAAATAAGAGATACACGGAGAGCAAAACAGTTATTATAGGACTGCTTAGCAATCTCAGAAAAACATAAATAATGTAATACAAACCTGGGTGACACCAACTCTAACATCTCTGCTGACTGAACTGGTCCCTTTCAACATATCGCCACTGGCTCGTAGAAATCCAGAACTTCCACGCAGAAATCCAGTTCCCAACAGTTCCAAAACTTCTTCCAAAGTGATTCTGCGGAAGTTATGCCTGGTGGATGCTAAGAATAGATGTAAATCTTGAGAGGAGTAGTTCTGTAAAACGTTTTACATTATAGAAGAAAATTGTCAACTCTACTCATTTTAGAAAAAGCAATTTGTACAAATTCAGTTGTGCAATCAAATCCAAATGTTCTTTGAGCATTAAGGTACTCTTAAAACAAAAGTATCTCACCTTAGTATTAAATTAGCTCTCCAGAAGAATAGAATAATAATAATAGATACATTATAAACAGAAAAAGCTTACATTGTGATTTCAATTTCAGCTTCAACAGAACTTGAGAGTTTCTTACCATCTGACAGATTAATACAGATGATGAATCAGCAAAGTAAATTCTTTACCTGGTGTCTGTTTAGATGTTAGAGCTCTAGCCAAGACTGTGCCTAAAACTTTTGAAACTGCTAATCGTACATCATAATTGGAACCTTCAAAGGATTTAAAACACAAGGTCACAACACTATCCAGGTCTGTAGTCCACATAAATACTGCTTCATTCTGAAGTTCAAGGAGACACTAGACAAAAACAGGGGAAATAAAAATGTTTTCATGTTGAAAAGCACTCAGCGTGAATCTTAGCTTGCTACATAATATAGTCTCTTTAACAAAATAAACATGTTGATTCATATTAACATTCTTGAATGTTTGCTGCCCAGGCAGTATACAAAAAATAAAGATAAGCAAACGACATATTTACTGCTGTGTTCACCACCCATTAAAACAGAATTTTATTTAGGGAGCTTACTTAATAAAAACAGCTATTAGAGCACTTTACCTTTGCAGCAGCACAGCGTACGGCCATGGAGCGATCTGTCAAACATGATCGGGCAGCTTTGTAAATATCTCTGTGACAGGGGATAGCAGCTCCTCCTAAACCATTTAATATATTTTGCAAACTAAGCATGATTTCATAACGACCTTGAGACTGAAAAATGAAAAAGTGAAAAGTTAAAGTTTTGTCACCCTAAGCTCCTTGGAAATACAAAATACCAACTACTGAAATACGTAAACAATGGTTTGGGTCTTTTAAACTTTTAGAGCTTGTTTTATGTGGAAGTGAGTTAAAGCAGATAACATGCACTGTAACACTATAAGCAAGTGAAAACATTAATTCTGTGTTCTACTGAGAAGTATTCACTAGCAGCTTAAAATTCAAAATCTGAAGTGCAAGCTGGAACAAAAATGTTCTCATTCATAAGGTAATTTGATTTTCTAGCTAATTGAGTTATTTTGTGAAATCAGTTTGAGAACAGCTATGATCCAACCTTCCATAGTCATAAACTTTAGCTCTAGTAATTCTTTGGAATTTAGACATTTATTTTTCTTTTATGACTTTCCACAATTTTTTCACACTTTGGTATCATGCACTTTCTCCTATTCATTGGTCCAGCTGACAACAGTAAAAATCCTATTATTTTTCCAACCATTTTTAAACATGCTGTTCCGATACCTCTGCATTCTTCATTGCTTTAAGCACATTCCCAACGGTGTCAGTAAAACTGCTTCCCAAAATTCTTCCCAATTTTTTGTATAAATATCCCAAGCAAACCACTGCAGCACTAAAACAAAAGCAAATCCAAAGACGCGTGAAAATGGATGGAGTAGTAGATGGAAGGGATTAAGATGACTAAGGTATCCAATGGGTGAAGAACAAAATAAGTAAATAGAATGTCCCCAAAATGTAAGTGGCTTATCAAAAGGGGGGGGAAAAAAAAAAAAAAAAGTCTGTGTGTGGCACATACACTCTATGAGAAATACAGATACAAGGCTAGGGAAATTACTTGGATAATATAAGAATTCAGGTAATGGAAAACTTTCAGTAACTCTTAGGATAGGAATACAGTTTCATGTGCACATTTAAACCTGAATATTGATTTCTAACTAAGCATGCCCTGCACCTTGTAACCTGTGGCAGATGCTGCTAGAAACAGACAGGGACAGGTTTATTTACAACTCAATGGTCAATAGTAGACTGCAATTCTGGTATAACAATACACACTAGGGGACCACCTGGAGGGAAATAAAAATGTAAGTCCTTTTCACAGCACACAAATTCTGAATTTAGTTTCCAGGTGAAACACCTGACAACTGGAGTCTGTGTGGTCAGTGGCATCTCCTTTAGCAAATGCAAAAATTGCTAAACATTGAGCAAAAATAATAAAGTGATAAAGAAAGAGTTGCTTAACTAAATAGTGGTTTTCTTTGAATAATAAAGGAAACCACTTTGCTTTTGTATTGACAGATCTATAACTCAACCAATTAATTTTACGTGTACAAGGAAAAAGGAAATTGTAACTCTAATCAGCTAATAGCTCTTTGGCCAGAACTACTTAAATATACAGTGACACTGTTCTGCACCCCCTTCAACAAAACAGCATTTTACTTACTCCTCAACTGAATTCATGTTTCACATACAAAACTTAAAATCTCATACTGAAAACATTCTTAATTAGAAAAATGCATTTAACAGTAATCCCCTAAATTACAAAGCACAATAAGAAAAACAACACTGATATGCTTTATCTTTCATCATGCCATAATGCTATTTTTGTTAAAGCAACATTTTTCATTGTTCCTTTTATCCAACTTGGTACATACCACCAGTATGGATTTTGATTTTGTTCATCGTATGAATAGGCAAGAAATTACAATTGCACCATTTTGCTACTAAATTGATCATTTGATGGTCACAGATGCTAATGGCTTAAAAAAAACTGTAGTGGGTATTTAAAAAATTTAGTCATTTGAAGTAATAAGCTGGATTCACATTATATAACCTGTTTATCTGATCCGATATGAGGTTCACATCACACTCAATTTTAATAGTAGATGAGAACTTAACTAATGTTCTCTTTAAAATGCTTGCCTAAAACATTCTCATCTTCCACCTATAAGAAGAAAAATTATTATTTATGAGATAACAGAACAATTCCCTGGAAACTGTATTTGAAGGAGCTTCCAGGTGAACCAACATATTGTGAGCAACGATGAAGTGTTGCTATCAGACAAAATGGGTATGTATGCTAAATAAGGACAGATGGCAAACAAAGACAACACTTTAATCAAGATTTTAAAAAACAAAACAAAACAAAAAAAGCAAAAAAAGTGCAGTCTTTCTTCACTGAACACCAAGTACTCTTGCAGCCCAAGAAGAAGGATTTTACTCAATACTGTAGTTCCAGTTTCTGTGGCCTGTTGTCTCACTGTCAGCACTACATGAAATCCCTTGTCCAAATCTATTTTGAAATGAATAATATTTTACTGCTGCTACCTTTTCTCCACTTCATCTCTTATTTCCTCTCCTCAGTACTGCTTTCATACCCAGCAGGATTTCGAGCACTGCCCCCTCTCTCTCCCAGCAACTTCTCTGCCTTCTGAGCCTGGATATCTGCCATTTCTGTCTGTCTTTGCCATTTCCTCCTTATAGTAAATGGACTCCATCATCCCCCCTTCCTGTGCTAACATCATCCCACTTCCTCCAGTGCAGAATCTTGCAGCCAAAGCCAGAAGACCCACAGAGCTCTGTCCCACATTACAACCACGATAATGTTAATGCACCTCACTGTTGAAAATCCAGTAGTATAGCAGCAATTTACTTTACAGGACTAAGACTTTTTATAGCAAACTTATTCTAAACTCTTAAAAGACTCAGTTTACTCTATTACCTTAAAGCATACTATGGACATTATAGTTCTGAACGATAGCAACAAGATTAGCATTGCTACAAGTAATGCTACAGTGTAGCATTCCTATACTCTAAAATAAATTCATTTAGCTTAGCTTTCAAGTAATTCCAGGCAATTCTTTCAAGCAGATCCAGTAAATACTAGGTAGCTAGGTAGGTCAAATTTTGTACTAAGTATTCAACATACACTGACTCACATCAGCCATCAAATTGTGTTAAATCCTTCAAAACTGATGTGATTCTAAAGTGATTTAATATGACTGATTTTATGTTACATTTTTGTGAATTATAACAAGAAACTTCCAAACAAGGAAGAAAAATATATTTAAGCTTATTAGACTTCAAAAAGCAATGTATGTTGAAAAGTACTGACCTGACTTTTTTTCCCCTGCAACATGCAGCTGAACTACTTACTCAAAACCTTCCAGTAAAGACAGAAACAGGAATATATAAAATGCTACACAAGTACTTAACCACTCATAATTCTGCCCTGAATGCAGCATATATTAAACTATTTAATATATGTTTTATAATACCTGAGGTAAGGAAGCAATTTGAATTTGCTTTCAGTTTTCACATGAATGCAATTTTTCTTTGTAATACTCAAGTCTAAAACTTTTAGAGACGTAACACCAAAGAAAAATGTATTTTTTAGAGATGGATACACCCACAATAATACTACTAATCAGGAAAGCTCCCAAATTCTGTGTTTTGTATGGTGCAAAGCTTTTACTGGACAACCAGTAGAAATGAGGGAGCACACCCTCTCTCCTGCAGTAACTTCTCACCATGTAAATCTGTCTTGTTATTACTGGATTTGAAGTTTGGGGTTAAAAAAAAATACTTACAGTTTTGTAGGCAGATAACTTGGTGAATCATCTTTACTCCGAATTAGTTCATTGCATTTGTCAATTGTTTGGAAAACAGAAAAAGTCTCTCCAGTGCTATAAAGTACAGCTAAATTCTTGGCAACAAGCCGTCTGGTAGGAGGTCCTGGTGAATTGTTCAATAAAGAAGTCAATTGTTCAACCAGTTTCTTCTGGTTTTCCCTTATATCAGCCTGGAAATAAAATCAGTAACCAGTTAAATTTCAGCTTAATTTTTAAGTTAGTTAGAGATAAATAATGCTAATTTGCTTTACTTTTCATTAGTAGCATTCTCATGCTCTGACATTCTTAATTAAAAATTTTATTGCACTGTTCTACTTAAAGAAAAGCCATCTCAAATATGTGATTATTTTATTCTTATTTTAAAAAATAGATCACACTTTTCAGAGCACAATTCCTTCTAGTAGAATTTTGGGATTGTTTTTCCCTATTTATAAGTTTACATTTATAAGTTACATAAAATGGTTGCTGAAACAAAATTGCCATTTCTTACATCTTTTATGCCTGTTTCAAAATAAAACAATAGCAAAGAAGTAATTTAAATACTAAATAACTTCAACAGAGTTTCAAGAAGTTGAGCATTATGAAGGAAAACACTTCCTTTACAATAATAATCTATTTTAGTCTTACCTCAATTTTTAAAAAATACTCTTAAAAATATATATCTAACTTATGAGCCTAGCAGTGCGTTTAACTTAAATATTTTAACACAAGTAATTAAACTCTTAAAGAGCACCACCTAGGTTGCTTAACTGTTAAATATTCACATGAGCTGCTGAACATAAACAGTGAACAAAACAATTGGACAGTTGGCTGGAAACAGATTTTTTATCATTTGATTAGGAAAAACAAAACAAAGAGAAAGATGTTGCATTTTTGCTTGCTAGAGAACTACCAAGTAATTGTGCCACCCTAGGAGGAAGCATGACTGCCAGTCCTCATAATGCAGTAATAATATGAGTTTTTAAAAAAATAACTAAATCACTTAATGCTTATTTCTCAAATTCCTTTCATCGCAAAAGTGGCTCTGTCACTTGAAGAACTGTGCTCCAAAACCTGTAACGTTTAGAAAGTTACCGCTAACACTGAACATACTTTCATTACACGTACATAAAAGGCATCAGGCCAATGAAATTGAATACTGATCTTTGTTTTTAAACAAAATAACAAAAAGACAGAGAGAAATAGCTCTATAATGTGTTTTTCTTTTCCAGCATCATTATACTTACTCTGCTAGTCACTGGTAAGAGTCTTTCCAAAAACTGCAGCCATTCAAAAATGAACTCTGCTTTCTGAAATTCACCAAGCTGGTTATAAGCTTCTTCATTAAGTAGTAAACTGTGAGCTAACTCCATTCCTTGAAATTTTCCTCAAGTCTCTCCACAAACACCAGGGAATTAAATACAAACAACAACCAAACAAACTACTACAACTGAGTTGATCAGTCAGGTTTTCTTCCCCATTAATATGTGGTGACTGAAGTAGAAGTTTAAACACCTAAACAGAAAAAGAAAAAAAATTATTAGAGAGTCAATAACCATATTGTATTTATGCTTGGCTTATTAAAACTAAACTTTCAAAGGAAAGCATAAAATAATAATAAAAAAGTACATTACAGTAGCTTCATCTAGGTAGCTTTAAAAATGCCTAAAGGTTTTGAAATGTGATAATAAAGTCACTGTACTTCTATTTTTTCATCTTGTTTTGCATGAATGAGGTTTACTAGTACTTGATGACATATATACCCGAAACTAATGATCATCTGGCCCCAAATGTAGTGACTTTTTCTGGAATTAAGTGCAGCAATAGCAGTAATTTACACCTAACAAACTCATGTTAATTATATTAAAAAACAGATATACTAACATTCAAACATTTCATGCAAGCAAGGCACAAAGAAAAAAAGGAACTCTGCTGCTGAACAAACCTTCAGTGCTGCCTTTTAAAAAAAAAACACAACACAACAAAAACCAAACCAACAAAACCCACACCTGTAAAAAGGATGTTTCAAAAACTGAAACTTCAAAAGAACTTATATTTTACTTATGTCTCTCAGACCATTTTGGGAATTTCCACATTGTCAGTATGCATAACTAGAAGCAAACCAAGATTAAAAATACTTTTGATGTTAGCATTTTCTTTCCCAGTATTTAAATGCCATATAGCCTGAAACTACAAAATACAGTGTTTTGTAGGCTTTGCAAACAAAAATAGTCAACGAGATTCTGGTAAAATGTCAACTGCATTTTAAATTCCCAAAGAAGTTATCCTTTCCAGAGGTCACAGAGACTGCTGAACAGACATTTTTTTCCTATGCAGTGACAATATTATAGTGTAAAATGATCCATCAAACAGTAAATGGGCAATACAAAGCAATGGTAAATAATTCAGTACTTGGGTTGTCAGCAAATGCACAGCAGAAGGTTACCTTCACTACTCTCTACACATTTTTTAATATGAAATTTACTCACAAGGGAAATTAGTCACTTGTAATTTACTATAATGGACTGTCACTTCAAATTTACCTGAAGTACCAGGCAGCTCAACAAGGCACCACAGTGTAAAATAACAAGCAGAGATAAATACCTAAGTATACCTCTATATATTTAATCTGCCTAGGGACATATATGTTCACAATTTACCAGTTATCTCCGTCCTAGTACGGAGATAACAAAAAAGTTAGGATTACATATTTCATTGAATATTTGAGTAGGGTTTCATCACTGCTCAGAATGGAAATTATGTGTACAGGTCACAAACCCTCCTTTCCCCCTCACCTAAGCCCTGTTCCAAAGTCTCAATAACCTACTGCCACAGCAACCGATTCAATTTACATACAGAGCTGCGGATTACAACTCAAAATTTTCCTCACAGATCACTGGCACATGCTGGCACCTGACTTACCTGGCAGGTAATTTCTCATTGCTAAAACTGCATCTCTGCTGCTTCAGGGTCTTGGATAAAGGATGTCAAGGGCTCAATTTTCTAGAAAAGGAGTTAACACAAAAATGAACTTTTAAAAAGCACAAGAAATACAAATTGTCTCTTCTACCAAAAAAAAACCCCAAGAATTTCAAAGTTTTGCACACTGATAATTTTTTCTAGCTATCAACTTACCAGAAGTCACTGAACTGGAGCTCAAAATATTATTAGTTGTTTATATGTTGCATTTGAATTGGGCGGACCCATCATATTTGCCATACAATTTGATTCATTTAACTACTGAAATCACCTTTCTTATTTCTGTTTTGTTAACTGAGATGAATTCTAAATAAAACAAAGTGAGCCCAGACAGCATAATACCATAATTATTTCCTAGGAGGATTATTTCAGTGCCTGCATCAGACCTACATTACTTTATGTATCTAAAAAAGCATAGGTGGAAAATACTTATATTAAACTGGAATACTATAATGAATGACCATGTCCTTATCGTAAAGTCATAAACAATACAATTGCATTCATGTCTAACTCAACGACCAGCAGAGCTGGCAAAGGTGACTCAACTGTTCTGAAATATTCATGTACAATACTATCAATACAAAAAGGCATGAGGATTTCCAATCCATTCTCCTAACTAAAAGACAGAATTTTAATATTAGAGTCAACGGGCAATAACAATTCCTTTTAAACTTCATTCAGCTTGAATTTAGTGTGGCAGGACATGAAATACAGCTTGTGAACTATTTTAAGAGTAGTTTTCAGTCAGTCTTTAAGAGAAAAGTTGAAAACAAATTAAAAATACGCATAGATTTCCAAGTAATTTAACTTCTTTCAGCCTGGGGAGCCAATGTTCAGCCCGGCGAAGAGAGGGCTCAGGGGAACCTAACAGCAGCCTTCACGAGGGAAGAGTACCAAGAAGACGAAAACAGGTTCTTTACTGAAGTGTATGGGAGGAAATAGCACCCATAGTGTCATACATTGAAATGAGGAAGGTTCCAAATGGATAGAAGAATAAAAGATTTTCACTATAAGGATAATCAGCCACCAGGACAGATGTTGCAAGGCTGCAGAACATCCTAAGGGGTTTCTAAGACTAGTCTGGACAAAACCCTAAGCAAACTGGTCTGAACTCAGAGTTAACCCTTGTTTGAACAAATGATTGGATAAAAAGACTTCCAAGGGCCCGGTCCAACCCGGACACATCTACATTTTGTCAGCTATCATGCCCACAACTCACACAGCTGACATATATTCTTCTGTTAGTGTCAGTCACAGACAAAACTTTATGTTGTTCCACTGAAGTTATTATTTCAAATATGTTTCTATATATGTGACACTTCGATTGTATAAGCACATATTTGCAAATATCAACTAGATTTTTTTTTACAGGTTGTGTAGTCTAAACTAAAAAATAAAAATGTTCTGGTGTAGTTGCCCATCTATATAATGAACAGCAGCTAAGATGGTGAGAAATGCTAGCATTTCTCAGAGGAAAGGTTCTCTGAGTTCTGAATTATAGAGGCTGATTGTCCATTAGGCAATATTTAGTTTTGTAGAAATTGAGAACTAACCATTCAGTAAAAAAATCACAGACCTGATCTTTCCACTGCTAGCCAGCAAGTAAACCTTGGTTCCATGAAGCTCCATACAAAATAGTACAGTCACTACTCTACCTAGAAAACTTTATCCCAATCACCTATTGAGACTCCCTTTAATGACTTCTAAGGCTGAACAGAAGAGATACTTAATGAAGCTTCAGAAAGAAAGGTAAAAAAAGGGCACAGGCATACAAACTTGTGAGAAGACAGCCAAGAACATAGGGAATCAAGTTTTTACTGCAGCGTGTTGGTTTTGCAGTCAGGTTGAAGAACATGACAAAAGGCACAGTGCTTAACAGCTATGCAAAACAGAACACCAGTACAGAATGTGGGGACAAGCTGGGTTTGATTAATAGTGAATGTGTCCTTGTTATGCATACAAGATGTTACCGGACAATTCCTAAGTGCAGAAGGAAACATCAAACCTAAACACACACTGTCCAGAAGTGGGTGCAACTCTGCTCTATCTGAGGGGTGGCATTGCCATTTGGTGGGCTAGGCAAACACGATAATAGACTGATTGTTATGTCAGCCATTGCTGGCTTCACATTTTCTTGAACATCCTCGCACCCTAGTAAATCCATGCAAGTACAAGCTAAGTAGGTGAAGATGCATCTATATTTACATGAAACTCATGTTTTGAAATGTTGAATTATGTGAAAGGCCCCTTACTCTGATGCTGGAATTTTGATCCTTCTCAATCTGAAATAAATATCTGGAAAAATAAGTGTGAGATTTCATTGAATGAAACACATACTACGCCGTCAACAAAAAAAAAAAGGCATATGTGGCTGATAAAAATCTGAATCTTCTAGCTCGTATGACACACCATCCTTTTGGTTTTGTCTTTAGATAACTGAAGTAATTACAAGATTTACTTTCCCCATCAGTGCTACAAAAGCATATCAATCCAAATCCCTCTTTTTTCCTATGAGGTAGGTTCATTTTATGTTTATACTCTGCTACAAAACTGTCGTAAAGATTTATTGGACAAGGCTGTTCCTACTTATTACTGACGAAAAAATTTTCATTTTCTGGTTGCCAATTTAGCAAGCAGGACTGTTAAAGACTGATCAGAAAACAGCTCAGAAAAGCTCTTAGAACAAGCACTACATGGAATGCTGCCCTGTAAATTGACAGGAATATAGGGTGAATCAAGTATTAAAAGGCAACATCAATTGAGATTCTAAAGTTCCTGACAAACCTCGAAGAGAAAAAGGGGCTTGGAGTCTTCTTTTCAGGGAAAAAAAATAATTTAAAAATGGAGAATGAAACAGGGTAAGAGGGATCTGAATAGCTGCCTTTAACAAATGGCTTTAAAATATGAGAACCAACAGATTGCCCATGACAAAGTTATACCACAACCAAAAAAACAAATAGATCTATTATGTGTATCAAGTTTACTCTCAGACAGCTAACCTCCTCAGGCTTTAAGAACTGAGGGAAGCAGTCCATAGTCTGTTACATTTCTTTCACTTGGCAGTCCAAGACAAAAACTGATACATAACAAATGAAAAGCTATGAGCAATAGTGGCAACTTAGTGAATTCTACTTTTCCATTTCCACCCACCCCATGGAATATTTTGTCTCTGCATTTAAAAAAACAACCACAGCAAGCAAACAAAAAAACCCAACCCAACCCAAAACCCAACAAAAAAACAAAAACCAGAAAAGAAATCTGCAATAAAGAAAACTCCTAACTGATGTCCCACTAAAAAAAAAACCTAAACTTTTAAATTATGACTCATCACTTCGAGGAAGATCAGCACAAGTAATGAAAACTACCACACAGATCAAGTATGTACTCACAAATG